AAAACCAAAACAAAAAAGAGAAGAAAGTCCATACGTTATGAATAAAAATAAGTTTTAAAGGAGTGAGATGGCTCCAACTAAGGGAAGAAGAAATAGAAAGTATTTCTAGGAAATTATAACAGTCAACAAAGATTATTTTTAATGATAAACATACCCTGTTTAACCCTAAAAACAAAGAAGAAATCAAATAGATAGATATGGACACCACAATATTCCATTTTAAACTAACTCCAGAAGAGGCTGACCATCTTGAACATTATAAAATACAAACAAGAGATGAGTCAATTATTAATAATAAAATTAATATTCCTTATCTCTTTATTCCAATTAATAATATTATTCCAAAATGGGTAGTTCCAAATATGATTACACTAAGTGGTAATGTAATGCCAATTCTTGCATTTACATTAATGACAATATTATATCCAGATTATTCACAACCACTTCCAGCATGGATGAGTATTTTTAATTCATTTTCAATTTTATGGTTTTGGATTGCTGATTCATGTGATGGTATTCGTGCACGTTCTTCTGGTATTTGTTCACCAATAGGAGATTGGTTAGATCATTCATTAGATAATGTAACATATTTCTGTTTTGTAGGCTTTTTAGATCATATGTTTTTATGTAATAGTGTTATTAAAGACATGTTGATTGTACTATTTATGGTATACACTTCATATTGTGTACAAATACAAGCAATTTATACACATGCAATTAATCTTGGAATTATTAATGCTTCATGTGAAGGAATTATGGGATTTATTGGATTAGTCTTTTTAGGTGCTTTTATTCCATTTTATGATTTTAAGTTATTTGGTATACCAGTGTTTCAATTACTTCTTCCTATTATTGGAGGATTATTAGTGATTCATACTCTTGTAATGATTAAAGGAATTAAAAATGATTTCCCAGATAAACCAGAATATATAAAAGAATCAATAGAGATGTTAATTAATTCTATGGTATGTGTTTTTGTTGGAATACTCTTCTATTATTCCTTCTGTAATGAATTTACAACAACTAATTATATCTTTAACAATTTATGGATTTATTTCTGTTCATTGATTTATGTAGATATGATTATTCAATCTCGTTTATTTGGTAGGGACATTCCTAAATTATACAATTTGAAATTCCTTATTTCATTACTCACACCAATTGTCCTTATTTGTTTCTGTTCATTCACTACTTCTGTAATAATAGGAGCTGTTGTAGGTGGAGTTGTGATGTGGACTGATTGGATAGCAACACTTCTTTCAATGTTAGATGGACTTCATTTGAAATTATTCCAACATGAGCCAACTCGTTTTGCACCAAAGAAGAATTGAATTGTTAGATAATTTTTTTTTGTCATTGAAAAGAAATAAAAAAAAGAGAAATATTAAAAGAAGAAGTAAAAAAAACTATAAAATGGTAAGACAGTTTTTGGTTCAAATAGATGTCACAAAGAAGAAAACAACATAAACACAATGAAATAGATAGATTTAAATTATTACAAAATAAAACAATTATTCAAAGAAATCTTGTTTATGTAACAAATATTGCTTATAATATTGTTGAAGGATTAACACTTCAAGAAATTTCAGAACGATTAAGTCGATTTGAATTCTTTGGACAATACGGAGAAATTATTAAAATTATTCCAAATATTAAAACATTACATAATCTTCAATCAACTACTGGACCATCATTTTCAGCTTATATTACTTTTAAAACTGCTGAAAGTTCTATACAATGTATAAGATCAACAAATGGAGGATGGTTAGCTGGTAAAGTTTTAAATTCTTCATTAGGAACAACAAAATATTGTTCACATTTCTTAAGAGGAAAACAATGTATTAATCCTGATTGTACATATTTACATCAATTAGTGTCAGAAAAAGATTATATTACTAAAGAAGAATTAAGTGCAGGAAAAAATAGAATTGATGATGATATTTCACAACATATTTCTATCGACTCTGAAGGTAATAATTATCTTCCACCAATATTTACTATTGAACCAATAGAAATAGATTTAGATACTTTTCAAACAGACAATCCTGTATTAATCAAAATGGTTAATAGATTTAAAAGAATATTTGTTCGTGATTCAAATCCTCATTTACCTGTCCATTCTTCATTATCTCCATTACGTGCTTTTAGATATGATCAAAGTGATTCTACAGTAATTAAATCACCAAATTATATATTTTTCTTATATAATACACGCACTACAATTGATCCTGAAGTTCAAATACCAAAAGAATGGACAGATTGTAATAAAATAACTAAAAAAATTAATACTCATCATGAAGAAATCAAAAATGATATGAATGAAAATAATGAGGAAATAGAAGAAAGTACAGAAGAAAGTGGTAATCAAACAAAAGAAGATACAGGTAAAGAAGAAACAACAACTACATTAGATGATACTTCTGATAGTGAACAAGTTATTATTAAAGATGAGTATAGTGAAAGTGGAAGTCCATTTTATGGAGAGTCTAATAAACCATTTATTTGTAAAGATTATTTACATACATTTGAAATATTAAATGCATATAAAGGAGATGTTGAGTCATTAATATCATATTCTAAGAGAAATGAATTAATAAGAGACAATAGAAGTTCATTTGATCTTAATAACTTTCAGTATATTAAATTATTAATTGATAAAATTATTACTTCTGATGAACTAGAAGAAAAAGAAGAAAAAGAGCAACTTGAAGAAAAGGAAGTAGAAGAAGAAATAGAAACACCACCAATTCAAGAAGATGTTGATGAATGGGTAACTGTTGGAAAAGGAGTTTCATGGAAAAAAATCAAACAAAATAAAAAACAAAAAGCAAATGAAATTTTTATAGTAGAAGAAGATAATGAAGTAGAAGAAAGTGATGAAGAACCAGAAAACAAAGAGACTAAAGAAAAAGAAGCTAAAGAAGAAAATAAAAAGGGAAAAGAAATAAGTGGTAATACTGAAGAAGAAAAGAAGGAAAATAAAAAGGTTTTATCTAAAAGAGAAATTGAAAAGAAGAAAATGAAAGAAATGGAAGAACGAAGAAGAGAAATGGAACTTGAACGACAAAAAAAAGAAGAAGAGGAATTAAGAAAACTTGAAGAAGAACAAATGAAAGAAGGAGAGGAGAGTGATAATGAAAATATTGAAAAAACTAAAACAAAAGAAAATGATGAAACTAATAAAAGAAATGAATCAGAAAGAAGTCATTCATCAAGTAAAAAGAAAAATAATTCAAAAGGAAAAAAGAAAGGTTCAAAGAAGAAAGGTGGAAGTAAAAAACAAAATGCTTCACCTTCTATTAATGAACCTAAAAAATCAGATGTTTTAGAACCATCATCTAAACCACCCTCTCGTCCTATTCCTAATAATAAAAGAAGAGTAATTATGGATCCATTAGAACAACTAGAAAATAATGTAAAAGATTTACACAAACTATATTTAATGCTTGTAGAAAAATCTAATATTCAACTCCAAGTATTAAATGAACGAAAAATAGAAGTTCAACCAATAATATGTCAATATCCAGACTCATATTTTATGGTTGATCATTAATTTGTATTTTATTTTTCATTTTAATTTTATATGGTTTT